CCGGCTGAAGCGGGCCCGGCCGTCTGGCTGCGAGGGGAGCCCGTGGCGGCTGGGCCCGGGCTGCGGTGCCGCGGGGGGTCGGTGCGGTGAACGGCTGCGGTGCCTTGACAGGCTGCACCGCTCCGCCCGCAGCCATGCTCCCTGGGGGGCCAGGCCAGGCTGAAAGCCTTTAATCTTCTGATTATGATAAATAACCTCGTGTTAAACCTGTACCTAGACGGCTTATAAATCACCCGTGCTGCTGGTGCATGAGCAGATTGCCGATCTCCGTCAGCGTAATTGCAAGGCTCGTGCAGGAGAGCCTGGGCAGCTTTGCTTTGCATTTAGGTGGAGAAATGGAAAGTTGCTCGTCAGCAGCATTTGCTGCGAGCCTTGCTCTGAATTTGGGGAAATCGGACATTGAGCTGCAGCGCCGCTCTCCCCGTGCTGGCAGCGGGTGCCTGGGACGAGCCTCCAGCGGCAGCCTGGGTGCCGGTGCTGGGATGCTCCCAGGGCCTCGCTCCCCAGGGCTCATTAGTTACGCTGAAAACAGCTTTATTCAGACCTCTGCCGTGTCCCCACGCGGCTGTGGCTGCCAGGAACCCGGCGGTGACACTGCCTCTCCATCCCTGTCCCTCTGCAGAGCCTTTCCTCTCGCTGCTGCTGGTGGTGACAGAGATGGATTTCTCCCTGGACCTGCAGGTACGGTGACGAACCGGCGGGGTGGTGGCCAGCACGCGGCTGCCGGGACGGGACCCCGGCCGCTTTCTCGCCGGGACCATTGGCGCTGACTCTCCTTTGCAGAACTGCAGCTTCTTGGATGAAAGCTGGCTGCTGCCGGTAAGAGCTCGTCTTTCCCTGGAGCCGCCCTTCCGCCACTTGGCCCTCACTGAAAAGTCAACCGAGGGAGATAAGGAATGATTTGGGGGGGAGGGACAGCCACGCAGCTCTCCGCCCGGCCGCAGCCACGGGCGAATTGGCTGAGGGTCACCAGCAGCAGCAGAGCCGCCCCTGCCACCGAGGTGGGATCCTGCCGGGTGCCTGCGCTGTCACCAGGAGCGGATGCCAGCATTCCTGGGAGTAAAAGCAAGCAAGAGTAGTACCCAGGCCTAAATTGCTGACATAAATCAAGTTTTCCCATGTTCCCTTCCCTGATTTCTTGCCAGAAAATTCCCATTTCCCTGGGCTGGCACAGATGACGAGTCAGTTGGTTTCACTCTTGGTTTTGCTCAGTGAAATATCGGTGCATTTATTGAGAACAGTGGGGATGCCTTGGTGTCTTTTAAAAATGAAGAGCATTCCTCTCCTGCCTTTTTAACTCCAAAGAATCCCCCAAAAAGCTCGAGGCAGCTTTGGGGCTGGTTACGGCGTGTGCCAAGCTGCGGCGCTGCTGCGGAGGCTGGGATCCCACTGGCTTTTGGGCATTTCTAACAGCGAGTGCTCCCGGCCGAACTGGCCGCGTTTCGGGTCCCTGACTAATGCGACGTGACAGTAAGCGCTGCCGCAAACGGCAGCGGCACTGGGGAGGGGCGGCAGCGCTCCCCCGGCTGCGTGGGGACACGTGGGGTGAGGGAGGAGGGCTCATGGCTGAGTTAAGGGTTCGCCCGCTGCTTTGCCATCCCAGCCATCCAGCAGGTTTGTCCCGCCCGGGCCTGGGCCCAGCCAAATCCCAGGAGAGGACAGGGACAAGCAGGCACTGCTGGCCCCAGCCCAGCCTGGGGCACTGGGGACTGACCTCTCCCCAGGCTCCCGTAGCCCCGGTTTGGCACCAGTGCCAGAAATGACCCAGGGCAAGGGGTCCCCATCCTCCTCCTCATCCTGGTCACGCTCCTTGGGTGTCCTGTGGCCATTGCCAGGGCCACTGTCACCAGCCACTCTCTTCCAGGTGTGCATCACTTACGAGACGGTCCCGTGCCGAGCGCTGGGGATGGTGCTCAGGTAGGAGCCCTGGGTCCTCCTCTCCGCTCTCCAGCGGGATCTGGACACCCTGGCACTCAAAAAACCCCCCAAAAGGGGGAGATAAATACCCCGCTGAGAGCATCGGGGCTGTCGGGGGTGCTTTTCTCCCCATCAGCTCAGCCTCGCCGGTATCTGCTGTCCATGGGGTGGCTTTTCCCTGCCTCCGCATATCGGTGAAGCATCGCTGATGGTACAAAAGGGCTGGGGGAGCCGGGCTGGGTCCCCGGGGCTGAGCCGGGGCTCGGCCGCACCCCCAGGTACGTGGACGGCCGAGTCTTTGTCACCGAGGTGCTCCCCGAGAGCCAGGCGGAGGTGGACGAGGTGGTGCTGGCCGGCGACATCCTCGACGAGATCAACGGCTGCTCGCTGAGAAACGCCTACAGCGGGCAGGTGGGTGGGCACGGAGGCTGGCGCATCCCCCCCTCTCCTGCCCCCCCTCCTCCCCTCTGCCTCCCCCCGCCCCCCCC